TATATCATCAATGTACTGTACGTGTACAAGTTGCATATTATCAATTGCAGCTATTGTACAAAGTAAAAGGTAAAGTAAACATACACTGCATATGGCCTTTGATCATGATAAATGCACTTAAATGGCTCCATACATTAAAAGTAACATAATACAGTCATTACATGTTCATATACATGTAGACTGAATGCACATAATGCTCTGTATGTCACACAAGCTGTAAAAGATATAGCACAATACCTTTTCCAGCAGATGTAGTTTTAGTGACTGGACCACTAGCACCACCACCACCACTTCCTCCTCCTCCCTTCTTCTTCTTGGACTTCTTTTTTGTAGCAGCAACCTTAGAGGGAGAGAGAGAGGACCAATGATACAACAGGAGAGTAGGCGACATTAGTACTGTACAGCACTTACTTCATCAGAAACAATCTCTTCAGTATCAGTCTAAAAAATAAAAAAGAGCAAAGTCAAATAATGACAAAATTGAAGTTACATGTACATTATGTACAAATGTATTGTTAGTGTACTATTATCACTGCATATGTTACTAGTAAACAGTTGAGGAAATAAGCCACATTGGCTGACACACGGTTCAATGGAGTCGTTAATAAAAGCTTCCTGAATCTTTTCTTAGCAGTTCTTAGTATCATCTCAGTAACACAGATCCTCTACAAGATAATATACATGTACATGCATATGCAAACATACAAGTATAGTGTCATTATTATGTAAAATGATGGCAGCTGTGTGGAGAAATTGCTGATACAGTACGTCCTCGATTATCAGTACCTCTTTTATCTGAACCCTTGTTTATCCAAACGCATGGCTGTCTCTAATGCCCATGCTCAGACTAGTTAATTTATTAATAACCGGTTAAAATGGCTGCTGCAGCAAGGAGCTTACGGAGCTTGACAAAAGAAATACGATACACTGGGAAATTTTTGAGTAGCCAAATTTTCGCGAATTTCGCACATTTTGCTTCGTCGTGAAAATAAAAATTGCAAAATTCTAAATTTACATTGCCACGTGGTGGAGTTTACAGGCTATTCGCGAAAATATTATTTCGTGAAATCTTACACATGCAAAATTCGCGAAAATTTTGCGACGCGAAAATATCCCAGTATACAATACCATGAA